TGCAGCCAATGTGGAAACATACACTCTAAAACTTATCATGCATGCAATTGTAAAAAAGGAAAAAAATTGAACAAGGCATTCCGCCTCAAGACATACGACCCATTTAAAAAAAATCGCATGACGCCTTGACGCGTCATGGGTCGTAAATCGAGGCATGAATCAAGGCGTATGCATTGAACGCCTTTTTAATGTATGCTCCAAATTGAACTCACTCTTCAAACTAATTATTTACTTTGAGATAGTCACCTCAAGAACAAGCCTTTACATACATACATATAAACTAGTTTTCACCTCTTTATCTACATGAATGTCCTTATCATAATAAAATTGAGAGTTCAAATAATATGCAGTAGCATTTAGGTGTTGTTCTAATTGGCGATCCCATTTCTCATCAATGATTTCTAAAATTTCTTTCCAGACACCTTTTTGGCCTCTCAAATATTTTGCTACACCATTTATAGACTTATTCATAATTTCATAAATAAATCCTATTGTTAGGGCCTCTTCACCATAAATCATTCTTAGTACCTTAATTAAAGGCCTTGTAGTCTTCAAAGAATAATTTATATTACACTAGAAAGAATCATCTTTTACAGTAATCTTCTTCATTTTTTTCCATCTTATTTTATTGCCTAAGAACTTCCATCTCATTATTCATAAGCAAACAAAACTTCTAAGGAATGCTTTAACACTTTAAATTTTTATAAAGTAAAATATGTAGTTGAAAATTAAATGACTACATGCAAAATAATTTATGTAACAATGAACATTCTCATTAAGCTAAGCACCCAAGAGTGAATGTAAATAAACTTACTAACAATTTTTGCATTTAATAAGGCTTCGTTTGGGACGGCTGCAGTTGTCGGTAAAGCAGGTTGTGAAGTTGTTGTCCAGAAAGCTACTTTATAAAGTTGTTGTAGAAAAATCAATAAAATTTGTTTGGGTAGTATAACTGTCGAGTTGCTGTGCTGCTGCTGTGTAACAATAAATTACCTTGATACCCTTCTATATATTAGCATGAAATTTTTTTATTAAATACAAATGTTTTTAAATTTATATGATAACAAACTAATAATTCAAAATTCAAATCAAATATTTATTTTAATTTTTTTTAAGTTTATATATCAAAATATTATAAATTTTTTACTTAAATTTTTATATCATACTTCAAAATAATTTGTTCAGATTTTAGATTCTCATTTATACTTTATAATAAACCATTTTTTTCATATGTTTTTTAAAAAATTATATCAAGAAAATACTTAAAAAGAATTTGCGTGCATCAATTTTTTTATGAAATATGCATAGCTGCTGCTGCTCCCCTTCTCACTCTCGCCGGTGCAAAGAAAACCCCTACCATACAGCCGTAGAACTCCAAGAACCTCCGGCCTCGGCTGCCCAACCTCAATAGTTCCGTCAAGCATCGCCGCCACTACGTCCTTCGTCGGCCGCATCGCCGGCTCTTCATGCAGAAAGCACAACGCAATCCTCACCACTCTCCCCAATTCTACCTCCGTCTCCTTCCCCTCCAGCCTCGAATCCGCCAGCTCCAAATACCTCCCCTTCTCGTGCTTTTCCAAATCCCATTTCAAATGCTTGACTGGGATCACAAAAGCAAGCAGGGGCCGACCACTCCTTTACCTGATCTGGTTATAATCCAATCGCTTTCAAGAAATGGGGGTCGGACTTACCTCCGCGCGCACAATCCGTCTCTTGCCGTCGTCTCAACTCCGCCGCCTATACATTCGTCTCCCTAGAAACACTAGCTTTCTCTCGACAACTCAGCAGTGTCGACTACTGTTCGTCGCTTTACTGCTATACCCGCCATGGCATTGTTTTCAAGCCAGAAGAAGCTAGGCTTCCCACTGCTCTCCAGCCTCCGGTTCCTCCCATTTCCAAGGTCACGCGTGCTTTCTTCTTGATTTGATCTAATGAGATGGAACTTGAGCAGACTTTTCAATTTGGAGATCTTCTGCTGTTTTTGTTAATATTTTTACAACACCCATGCTCGCAGACAGGGGATAAGTCAAGGAACATCGCCCATGCTCGCAGAGCGATCGAGGAAGCTGCTTCGAAGGGGGCTCAGCTCGTGCTTTTGCACGTGCCGAACTTCACGATGAAGAAGTTCGCAAGGCATCTGCGTCTTTCTCTTACCCTCAAACAGCGGAAAGCAGCGAAAGCAGGAGCCTACTTCAGGATGGAAAAAGTAGCCGCGGGACGAAAAAAGTTTGAGAACGGAGCACGACCTCGTCTCCCCAAACCCCAACTCGGTTGGGTTTCCTACCGTATAACAGCGAAAACGGCATCCCAAACGCACCCTAAGGCAAATTTATGTGCGGCGACTACCCAAATCTCCCAAGCATTAAACCAATACATTGCACAGAAACTCTTTTCCACTAACACTCTCTAGCTTTATAAGTATTTGCATTATTTGTAACAACTTAACCCAATGTCTATCCTACTTCCTCAACAACCTTATCCAGCATTTGAAACCGCAGTTTCGCATCCTTCACAAAAACTGAAGCATCAATAGATTTTAAAAATGTATTAACATAGGAATTTTTACATGTAAATTGCTGATGCTCCTCTGTCAAATATTTGACCAGACATCTGAAATTATAATCACTCTTATCTCAACCAATGTCTTCTTCACTTCATCAACCATCTTTGTTATTGTCCTAACCTCCTTATCTAACATTCAAAATTTCAACTCATACATAATAAAAAGCTCTACGCCTCGACCATAATTCCCAATAGATCGAAGCATGTTGATCTATTATGGATTCCTAACGATATTGAATGGAAAGTCATTTTCAAAAAAAAAAAACACCCAGTAATATCTAAATAGACTATATTAATGAGTTCCATTGTAGTAGTTGAGGAGGAATAGTTTGAGAGATAATATTCTCTTTATCAACAATCAACAAAAATCTATCAATTGATCCTCAAGTGTCTCTATTAGAAGAAACTAAATAGCTCCCACAACTTGATCCATCATATTGAAAACCAGAATACAAACCATTCTCAATCATCTCTTCCATATTTATTTGTGCAACTTATTAGCAGTGGCAAACTTCTTCAAATAATCAATATATTCTTTTTTTTCACTTCCTAAGACATATTTGCACATGATCCAACGTTGACATGTATACAAGTCAAGTGATCCTTAAGCCTCTTAGCACCTCAAGTAATCTTCTTTTCACAAAAACTAGATTTCATGTAAACATACTCCACACCTTCATCTTGCACTTCAACTCGAGCAATTTATTTTCAAGCTGAATCTTTCCTTCTTGCGCAATCAGCTATTCTAATAAATCAACAATAACATTATCAAATAAAAAATGATATTTATAAAACATGTTTACAAGTAAATTTCTACAAGATAATCCAAGCACATCTAAAGTAAAGAGCAACAAACGGCGCAAATTTTAGGAATTAATAATGCTACGGCACACAATGAATGCAAATCAAATCTCCATATGAAACAAAAGATCTGTTAGTTACTTCAAATTTTTTTAGCAAAATTTAAGCACAAATTAGCATAAATCTTACCAAATAGCAAAAAATGACAACTTTAAATTCTACATAAACTTAAATTTCATTCCTTCTTAACATGATTTGAGTAGGATTTAAGCAAAACTTAGCCTAAATATTGCAAAATAGCAAAAATAACCTCAAATCCCACAAAAACTTAAATCTCGCTCCATTAATAGCCTAAATCCTACCAAACATAAAAAATGAAAACTTTAAATCCTACAAAAGCTTGAATCTCATTCCTTCTCTGTTTTTCTTTAATGTAATTTAGTTGAAGCGCTCAAACTGGAAGAAATATCGTTACCTTCGCTATAATCTCCCATCGTGACTTTCAATCTAACAGGAAGTTGTTGTCAATGATGGTGAAGAAGCTTCCTCGAATGTCTTTTTGCAAACTCTATTCCGTGTGAAGCACATGAAGTCGAAGTATCAACGAAGAATTTGGGTGCTCAATTTCTGGAAGTAGTCTCGATGACTTGCATCTAGAGATGGGCTCGACGAAGAACTTTGCATAGCCTCTATCCCGAGACTCCTCACGTGCATGCATTTGAGTGGAACAATATGTAATATAAAAAAACCTAAACCTAATTAATCTGTATGAGGCGGAGCCTCAAAGTTTCTCGTACGAAAAATGGTAAAAGACTCACTAGTACTAGCAAGGATTAAGCCTCGAGGCGCACATGATGCACCTCAAATCGAGGTGCGCCTCAAGGCGCACACCTCGAACACCTTTTTAAACCATGAGCATTACATGAAATGTTAGCTTTCTATTACACAAATATTTTTCGCACAACTCACAATTAAATGGCATACCATCATTAGAAAACAATAAAGAACAAACGAGCAAGTTATCACCATATTCCAAATAGAAACTTAAGAAATTATTATAAAAGAAATGTTACCCAACAACACCGCTAATATTTGTTAATGACATAACATAAGTGACCATGCTCCACTACAAGCAATACTCCTTTTTTAATAGTGTTTGGGTTGCATAATTCAAGGAAACAATAGCTTTTTTAGCTTATAGCCTCTTTGATGTTTTTGAATAAATTACATGAAAGCTGTATTATCACGCAGAATAGTAATTTCTTAAAGAGCTACGTACATTGGAGTATGCTAGCTCCCCACGCAATTAAGAAACTTGGCATCAACTTAAATAATTAAAATATATTCCTCACTGTACCAATAGTTTATCAACATTATATAAAAAATAAAAGCTAAACTTGCAGATTCTGCATGTACCGAACCTCTCAAAGGTTTTTCTCCCTATAAGACCCAGTCCTATAAAATTAAAGGGTGCCGAACCTCTCAAAAACCGTACCCACACGCTGATAACTCAATTTTGCAAAGTAACAGGACCGATCCACACCAAAAATCATCTTTCTACTAAATTATAAACAATGAACATCGATCTACAAATTACACGGAAAGCTTAACACAGAAATCCATAGACAACCACTTACTTTCTCTGGATCTCCTCCCTTATCGGGATGATTCTTGATGGCAGCCTTCCGATACGCCTTCTTGAGATCATCCTGAGACGCGTTTTTCGACACGCCAAGGATCTCATAATACCTCGTGTTGTCGCTCTTCTTCGGGGCCCTTCCGAACATCTTTGCCAGTCAAATTCAAACCAAAACAACTAATCAACCTTGCCGACCGCCGCGATCACCCTCTTCGGAACCGAAACCCCTAACCCTAGCGTTTCTCTCTGTTTCGATCGGATCAGGGAAAGGAAGAGTGGGAGCGGCGGCAGGGAGCAGACGTAGCAGTTTCAGCCTTTCTATTGCGTGACAGAGTACAACGAGTGGAGATGGAAATATAGGGCGTCGATGTATCATGCTTTTTTGTGAACATTGTGGACTGTCAGATTGGGAATTAAGGGCTGGATGCGGATCACCATCCGCTTCCATCGCATTCTCTTTCGGCAGCGGGGCAGGATTTTTTTAACAACTTTTCAAACCAGTAATAAATGCATAAATATTTTTTGTCTAACTTTATTTAGCTAATTTGGACAGATTTTTTTTTTTAATATAAATAGAATAGAGTGTCAAAATGTGTTTTTGAAACATATTCGAGTCTAATTTGAAAATGACCTATCAGTATGAGTGACCCAAAACCTACCCAATTAGGAAAATGGGTCAGAACCCAAACCCGAAGCTAACATGACATGACTCACCAACTCATTTGTTTTTGTTTCTTTTTTTTCTACTTCAAATTAAATTATTTAAATTAAACTTAAATTATCAAAAAACCATACAAAATTTAAATGCTAAATTATTAAATACATTAAAAATTTGAAACATACAAAAATTAAATGTTAAATTATACAAACACAAATGCTCTTGATTAGTGCAATTGTTGCAATACAAACAACAGATTACAAATTTCAAATAAACTTTTACAATTCTAAAATAAAATGATAAACTTGTAAGCTATTATACTTTTCCCATTTGAAGCTTTGCCCTCCCATAAGTCCTAGAGAATTTGACTTCTAAATTTGAATAGATCTAACTGCAAAAAGCAAAGGTATATAGCTAAAATTGTTAAATTGTGAGTTTGCAAAGATTGATTATAGAACTCAAATTAAACCTTCAAATCATTCATCAACTAATAAAATATAAGCAAATAATGAATATTACAGTATTATCATCCAAGGAAACAATTTGTTTTAACTTAGGTAGTATATGTTTAATTATATAGCATATGTTCGGTCTAAGATAACACAAATATCACCTGGTTGCAGTTATCAAAACGGATTCACACTTTCACTTTACGGGTTTCTCACCATTGCTCGATAAAAAAAATTATGAGGTAAATGATAAATAATTTTATATATCTAACAAAAACAAAAGGGATTCTTCATTTCTCTTTTAGTCCCTTAAAATAAATTAAATCCAAAAGCAACAAGTTCTCAACAACAATAGTGTAGTTGAGGCTTCAATAGAAATTCGTTAAATAATTAGCAAGTCAGCAAACTTGTTGAGAAACTTGCAGAAATTCTACAAAATTAGTTTAGAAATAGATCATAAAAAAGGCCGAAATGAATGGAAAAACCTAAGTCCAGCTTAGAAACAGAAACCACAATCAGAACCCAGCATCCAGCAACTGCAACTACAACCACAACCCCAACAAGGCAGCAACCAGTAACCCAACAAAAGCAACCAGCAACAACAACCAAAACAAGGACATATTAATGAAATGATTGTAAGAAAATTCACAACATAAAACAACTAAATTTGGAAAAACGTACAGTCAACCACGAAACAAACACTTAGATGCCATAAATGCTACAATGCTAGATGACCTAATGACTAGATAAAAAATAGAGTTAAAAATGTTATTTCTATAAAGGAAGTAGCAGCAGCAAATAAACCAATAATAGATAATAATAAGTACAGTAACAATAGTGAATAAACTAACAAATAGATAATAATAAAGGTAGTAGTAGCAGTAAATAAATTAACAATTGGATAATAATAAAGGTAGTAGCACCAAATAAATCAACAAAATATACAATAAAGAATGAGCCATTGGCCCATTACTAGGCACCAGTAAGGCATCAACTAATAATAAACTATAAAAGTTCCTCTCTCTACACAACCATTAAGATTTTAGATGGCTGCATAGGCATAGATAGCTAACAAGTTTAAGTTCATCTTACAAAACAAATAAATTAAGGACCAACAAAACTATTCCTTTTGACTGTACTACCATCACCTTCCTTTAAATTTTGCTCAATGTTTAGGGACATGATATTCTCCATTACATTATCAAGTTCAGGATCAGTCATAACTACAAAAGAAAAGTTATACTTTAAATAATTTAACAAACTAAATGAAATAAAATGATAGATCAAGTTAATTGATGGCTAACCCTACTCTCCATATAACCAAACCTTAGCACAAACTAATGCTTAGTTAATATCATGTTTTAAGGTACTTCGATACTGATCTAGTACTATATGTCAATCAAAATATTTGAATGATTATTATATAGACAATCTAATATGCTCACTCATTGCCTACAAGCAAAGTGTGAGTCATAGACTTTTGGATGCTGGTGATAAGAAGACTATAGTGCTAAAAGTTAAAGACACAGATGAATGCGGCTTAGTAGATGATGAGAGTAAGGAGATAGCATTGATAAAAAACAAATTTAGAAGTCTATTGAAGCACAAACATAAGCATCCAATAAAAGTAGAGCAAATGTAAAAAAGGGTAAAAATGTTATGTTTTCTTATAACGTTATTTTATTTGGGTGTAGGAAACCCAGACATCTGAAATTTGAATGCCCCAACTTAAAAACTATTTCTACAAAGGAAAAGAGTAAAATTAAGCTAATTCTAATAAGGGAAAAGATAAAAAGTAAAAATCTCTTAGGCAGACCTAGCATCTGAATCATCAAAATAGGAGCAAGACAATGAGGTATAAGTATGTTATAGTTTATTTGTGTATTTTGTTAATGTGTTTTGTGTGTTTATTTATCTGTTTTGTGTGTTTGATTTTTATTATGTTTTAAGTAAAACTTTAAGTTTTATTTCATTATTATATTTATTTTCTTCTACATGTATTTTAATTTTACGTGTAATTTTATCTCTTCTTTTTGATAATGTTAAAGGGGTAGAATATATTATGGTTAGTTGTATTTGTAATTTGATTTTTAAATTTTTTGTTATTTAGTTTTAAATTTTTATTTATTTTTTTTTAAATAATAATATGCTTACCCCTATTTTTTAATATAATTATTTTAGTGAGGGGGAGTTTAGGAAAAAATATTTTTAGTTTATAAATTCAACCATTAATATTTGTCATCATCAAAAAGGGGAAGATTATTGCAACTTAGGTTTTCGAGTTTATAATTTTGATGTTAATAAATATTATTGATTACCTCTTTATTTCTCCTAATATTTATAGAATATATTTGTTTATGTGTTGACTAACATTTCAAGTACCGTTCTTTAAAGATTCATGGCTCAAGATTTGATATAATAGGTTATGTTAAATGAGTTTATAATTTTCATTTATTTAATTTTTAATTTCTTGAGTTAACTCCTATAAAGATGTATGTTAGCATGGTGATCGTGTACACACACATAAGGGGATAAAAAATGTTTTTAAATATTTTAATTTTTATGTACATCATATTGTATGATACGTATCATAATGTATGATATGGATCACACTGTACGATTTAGATTGAATTGTATGATATGGATTATACTGTACAATCTGCTATTACAAAAATTAATTAAAATATTTTATTTCTTCTGGGAAAAATATTTTTTTAAATATAACTAAACATACAGTATAAACACTACATCGTACTAGATGATCTATTATAATTATAAAGCCCACCATCCATTAATTAGGTAAAAATTTAATATTGAAAAGTTATTCTAACCATATTGTTTTAACCTAATCAAACTATATGATGTTTAAAATATTACCTAATTTAATCATATGATTAGTCAATCAAATTTGATTTTTGATATTTTGATTGTACTATACAACTTAGATCATATTGTATGATCAACATATATGATTTTGGTCATCCCATGATTCGTTCTGGATGAACTGCTTTTTGGTTGAACTAACCATACTGTATGATCGGACATTTATATTAATAATCATACAGTACTAACAGATAGTTGAATTATTCATAATATTTTAACTGGTGATCGTATAGTACTAATAGGTCAAAATTTGCACATCGTACTAGAAGATCCATAGATTGTGTTGTACTATCTTTGATGGTTGAATTAATTTTTTAGGGTTTTTTGAAGCCCTATATTTAAGATTTCTTCAAAGTTATTGCAAGTGTCTTTGGTATGCATTGAGTCTTCGTTCTTCTGGAGAAAACTTGAAGAGAGAGCCTTAAATGAGATAGAGGAATGGGTGGAGTTTTAGAGAGAGAAGATCCTTGTGGGGTTCAAGGTAGTGTGGAGGGATTTTCATACGGTTGCTCTGACAAGCCTGCATTTAAGTACCATTAAATTCAAGGTTTATCTTGGGGGGAAGTTTTGGGAAGAAGAAGATCTTTTTGATGTCAAAAGACCTAGGCGTATACTCCGTTGCATCAGGGAAGGTGAAAGTGATTCAAGGTTCTCTGCCTCACCAGGAGGGTGAAAAGGAGTCCAGGTTATGTGCCTCACTAGGTGGGTGAAAAGAAGTTAAGGTTCTCTGCCTGTGAAAGGAGTTTGATCCTCTGCCATACTGGGTTGGTGGAAGAGAGTTTATAAGGGCTTCTCTGCCTAACAATGGGGGCTAAAGGAGAGACATTATAGTAATAATGCAATACTCAGAGTGGGTGACTGTATGGAGTGAATATAGGCCATGTTTTAGTTGAACCACTATAAATCTAGGGTGTTTTTTTTTTTTTTTTTTGTAGTTTATGTTTTTGCATTTTATTTTTTGTTATAACTACTTCGGTGAAAATCAGTGATTGATATTTTGTTGTATTGATTAGATTATCATCTCCATCTTTATAACTTTTGATAAGTACATTAGCTTCTGCATCAAGTGATAGTATCACTTCCCTATTAATGAGTCTTAAGAACAAATTATTGAGGTCATACAACCTACTTAAACTTTCAGGATTGCCTTTAATTTAGATGAAGAAATAAAAAAGTATTATTTTCCTCTCCCATAAATTCTGCTCTCATGCATGATGGCTTCAAAAGTTAAAGCCTTTGTTATATTCCTTATTCTGAAAAGTCAAAACATTAGCACTATCTCTGACCATAAACCTATCTCACACTGCAACATCATTTAAAAAATTATTGCTAAAACTCTTGT